GGCGCCCCCGGCCGCGGCTGCTCTGGGGCCTTCCCCTTCCCCCAGCTCTGAAACTCCGAGCCACTCGCTAATCCTGGCCCGGCAACTGGAAAAACTGACCTCGCTTCCCAGCTGCTGGGAAAGAAAGGCCAGCGCTGCGTTCGGCCTGTTATTTGCCACCATAAGGATCATACAAACCTTTTTTTTTAAAAAAAAAAAAAAAAAAAAAAAAACTGCTGCAGGAGATAATGTGACCTTAAATGAAACCAAATGTCAAGTTGTTAAATGAGCGCAGACAGGAATCCCGCTGGGCGCTTTCTCAGAAATGTGCGTTAGCCGGTTCCCCCCAACGCGTAAGATGGCTGGGGATGCGTTTCTGAGAAGCCTTCAGGGTTTCTCAGCAAGCTGCCGCTGCAGATCTATATCTGACGGGGGATAAATCCTGAAATCTATGCGTGCCAGTAAGGTCAAGGCAGCCGCGGAGATGTATCGAACCATATGGTCGGCCGGGCTCGTTCCTGGAGCAGCGCTGCTAATTCCTTTGAAGTAACACGAGGGAGGAATCGAGTCCCTCATGCTGAAAGATATATCAATAGGAAGCAATTTAGATCGGGCCACTTAAAGTGCACGTAATAAGTGCACGTAATACGAACAGAGCGAGCTGGAGGAGCAGTGCTTCAGGAGTTCACACAGGTCGATTTGTGCAAGCTGGCGAGGTTGTAGCACTGCCGTCCCCAGGGAAAGCTGGGGAATAGGAAACTACCTTTTATGGCAGAGCCTCAGATTCAGAGGAGAGCAGTTCAGGGACTGCCAAGCAAAGGGCAGTGCTGCAGGCTGCCCCGCTGCGCGCGGGGCACCACCTCGCGCCGCCTCTGCGCCGTTACCCGCCTCGCAGCCGCTCGCGCGTCCCTCGCCACTCTCTCCTCTCTGCATGATGTGCCGAGAGGTGCCTGCCAAGCTCCGGCATCCGTGAGGAGGGATGGAGGCAGCTGGAAGGATAGGGGTAGCTGCATCTTAAATGCCTCGGTGCCTTTTTATTTTTTTTCCTCCTCCTCTCTACTCTCTTTTCCTTAAAAACTCGAGAAGCTGCTGGAGCAAGTACAAGGTCTCCTCTCCAGAAGGACTGCTGCCATCTGACTCAGTCTCGCTGTTGATAAATTTCTATGGCTTGAAGCAGGGAAACCACATTAGCCTTTGCAGCTCATGTGGTTAATCATCCCTGCTGAGTATTTTTGGAGCTTTGGACTTTGCAATAGTAATAGCCTGTTAATCTTGTCAGGTAGCGAGCACTTTTTTGCCCAGTGTTAGCTGAGAAATGAATATTTTATTTCATAATGGGTGGAATGGATCTGAATGGGAGCCTTGGTCATTCAGAGGTTGCTCTTTCGCAGGTGATCTCACATCACGTCTCTCTTTGGCCTTTCAGAATAGCCCCGGGAACGCCGCTGACGCTATGGAAGACCGCATCCGCTGGCGCAGGCTGTAGGATGGTAGCGCACAGCAAGGTGTCAGCAGATAATGCCGTTGCAGCAGACCCGAGATGTCTCCTTGACCCTCCGGCGCGGGACCGTTCGCAGGCTCGAGCGTACCACGGCCCTGGGCGGCCCGGCGCGGTGCAGAGCAACACGCACTTCCGAACCTTCCGCTCGCAGGCGGATTTCAGCAGCATCACGCGGGCGAGCTCCCTGCTGGACGCCTGCGGCTTCTACTGGGGGCCGCTGACCGTCAGCGCTGCCCACGAGAAGCTCAAGTCAGAGCCCGAGGGCACCTTCCTCATCAGGGACAGCACGCAGAAGAACTGCTTCTTCGCCATCAGTGTTAAGACCGCGACTGGGCCCACCAGCATCCGGATAAACTTTCAGACTGGGCGTTTCAGCCTGGATGGCAGCAAGGAGAGTTTTGACTGTCTTTTCAAGCTGCTGGAACATTACATAAGCTCTCCCAGGAAGGTCCTGGTTACTCCTCTACGCAAAGTCCGTGTGCAGCCCTTGCAGGAGCTCTGCCGGAAAAGCATTGTGAAGACTTTTGGAAGGGAAAACTTGAACCGGATCCCACTCAATCCAGTTCTGAAGGACTACCTGAAATCCTTCCCCTTTCAGATATAAATACAGCATTAACTGTACAGGGGCGTGTAAGCACGAGATGTGTGAAGAAATCCAGCCTCCTGGGTTTTTAACCTTGTTTGACAGTGAGCAAACTTATTTTTGTAGCAACTTACTGTATCCTTGGATGGAACTTGAACACTTGACTCCTTATGTTTACGAAAACTGTTTGCACAAACCTGGGGTTTTAAAGCCCTGGCATCATCTTTCTGCTAAGCAGAATATTTTATTATTTTATAATATTTTTAATGATATTAACATAATAAATTTTATTGCGAAAGTTTTTAAAGAAAAGCATCTGCTCGTTTTGAGTTTTGTGGGCTCTAATCATGCTGACAATTTCTAAGTGAATATAAGTGCAGACAATGGGTCTTAGTGCGTCCAGCACCTTGTGCTGCTGAGATAGCCTCTTGTTTTGGTGCTCATTTTGCAGATAGATGCCTCAGCTAACCTTAAAACAAACATGTAAAGGAGCAGAAAATAGACTCGGTCAATCTGCCTCCAGCTTGCTGGGGGCAGGAACAGTGTGTTAGGACTACAGGGGAGCACAGTTTGAGAGAGTGAATCAAACCCTTATCTGAACTAATTGCACTGACTCTAGTTTGCCTGATTTCTATTAAAAGCTATGAGACTCAAAGCAAGAAAAGGTTGCTGTGTGACATAACCAAACCACATGAACGTCAGTGAGGAAAAACTAAGAACTGTCCAGAAATGCCATTCACACACTTTAAAAGGAAATGAACAGTATATCATTGTGATGCCTTAGGGGAAGGGATGTTATTTCTATTTAAATCAACATCCACAAAAAAACGAAAGTGAACCGATCTTTAGACTTAAAAAAAAAAAAAAAAGTGGTTCTAGTTTTAAACTGCTGGTGACTTAGAAAACATGGTGTTTTGTTTGTTTGGTTTTTTTCTCCTAGCTTTGCCAGCATCTTTTTTTTAAAAAATAGTGACTTAGTACTCCATAATGGAAGCCAGAGAGCATAATCCTAAAGAGTACAGCTTTTATGTGAGGGTTAAACTGCATTCAGAGATAGCTGAAATACTCCCAAACAGCCTGATGTATTTCTTGTAGGAAATCAGCAAGCTCCTCTAGATTTTTATCTGCTTCTAAAATGCAAGATCAATGGCCTATAGAGCTGTAAATGTGAATGACTGAGGCTCCGCTTTTGGCAAAAAAAACACCTGAATTATGATAAAATGTGATTTCCACCCCTGCTCAGCATTTACTGAAATCCATGAAAAATAGGCTTAGAAATGAACTGAGCCAAATTACTTCACAGAAGGCTCAGAATCTCTTGCAGAAAGGTGACCTCTCAGCAGAGCTCTGGGCTGCTTGCAGTGCCTAGAGGCAGTAAGTGAAGACATCTGCAGAGCTTGGAGGTTAACAGGTCTCTGTCTATACTGCAATTCACATTCCTTTCAAAACTAATGCCACCTTTAGGAAATTGAGTAGTTCTTATGCAGTGTTCCCTCCTGAGTACTTTGTGTAATATAACCTACTCTTCAAAAAACACCCCAACCTCACAGCTTTTCTGCTGTAGACACTTCTTCAGCATAAACAGGGCTCCTGCTCAGACATGTCTAAGGATTACTCACAGTGCATTGGACACTGTGAAAGACAGAAAAATGGAGCACAGGTGGGCAGCATCATAACACTCCTTTCACTCTATAATGTTTTTCTTTGGCTCTGTCCTGCCAAGCAGCCTCCCATCCCTTGTCAGCAATCCCTGGATGAGGTGTCAGGCAGCAGTTCTGTTCAGTTCTAGAACTGGAGTTGGTTGCCAAGGCTGTGTTTTCCCACAGCTGCTGTAAAGAACCAATATAAACTGGGGAAGAACCGACTGTTTTGCTGTGCAGCAGACAGGACAACAGAGGAAAGCAATCGCCTGAATGCGAAGGGCTTTCAGAAGTTAAGCTGGAGAAAAACAGTCTTGGTAGGGTGCAGGCTGCCAAACTGGTTTGCAGAGCAGGGCTTATTGTGCCTTTCCCTCTCTTTTCCCAGACCTGTAAATAACAAGTTTTAACCCTTCAGGCCCCCAGTGAA